AAAAAAGAAGCAATGATCCAGTGCTCACTGGAAGCCTGTCCAATCCTCGATACTTTGGGATTTCTGAGGCAGGAGACAGTGTCTCACAAAAGGAAAGTGAAGAACTGAGAAGAGGAAGACTTTTATGACAATGATGATGACATACTTCTTGATTGGACTGGCCTGGTTGAAAAGAAGCTTCTAGAGTCTAAATGAAGAAGGCTGGGAAGGTTTGATGAAAAGCCAGAGACCTTTGAATCATTGGTTGCAAAGTTGAATGATGCTGAAAAAGAACTCTGAAATTTCTGAGAGACTGAAAGCCTCAAGCAAAGCTCTATGAAAGTCACCACCTCAGGACTCTTTAGATGCGTACATGTCTTAAATGAACAGGGAATGCACTGGATGGTGTGTCCTGGAAGAAACTTCACCTGAGAACTTTTGAACTGAGGAAAGAACAACAGAGACTTAAAGGACTGACAAAAACTGTAAAGCCAGCAGAGATTCTGGAACTAAAAAGGACTAAAAGTCAGACTATAGATGCTGAAAAATAAGCTAAAAAGTTTACATCTTCCTTTCTTTGGTGTCATGAAAGAAGAACACAAATTCAAATTAAAAACTGGAACAGTAGGAAAGATACCCCCTAAGCGTCCTGAACTCCCTCCAATTCTAATGAGAATGAAGGCTGAGCCTAAGTTAGAAGAAGAGGGGAAAGAGGAGAAAGAAAAGGAGGATCAGAAAGAAAGTAAAACTGTCATTATTCACAGATGATATGATATTGTACATATAAAACCCTAAAGATTCCACACAAAAACTGCTAGATTTAATAAATGAATTTGGAAATATAGCAGGATATAAAATTAACATCCAGAAATCAATATTTTTATACACCAATAATGGACTCACAGAAGGAGAAATTTTTTAAAAAATCCCAGTTACCATTGCAACAAAAAATTAAGATTAACTTAACTAAGGAGGTAAAAGACCTGTACTCAGAAAACTACAGGACATTGAAAACAGATAGAGGAAGATATAAACAAGTGGAAGAATATACCTTGTTCATAGATTGATAGAATTAACATCATTAAAATATCCATACTACCCAAAGCATTCTATGGGTTCAATGCAATCCCTATTAAAATACCAACAGCATATTTCACAGATCTAGAACAAATACTCAAAAAATTTATATGGAAAAAAAAAAAAAAACACAAATAGCCACAACAAACTTAGCTACTGTAATCAAAACAGCCTGGTACTGGCACAAGAACAGATCAATGAATCAGAACAGAGAACCCAGAAATCAACTCAAGCAATTATTCTCAATTAATATTTGACAATGGAGGCAAAGGCATACAATGGAGTAAAGAAAGTCTCTTCAATAAATGGTGTTGGGAAAATTGGACAGGTGCATGCAAAAAAATGAAACTAAACCACCGGCTTATACAATACACAAGAATAAACTCAAAATGAATAAAAGACTTATATGTAAGTTGTGAAACCATAAAAATCCTAAAAGAAACCATAGGCAGCAAAATCTCAGACATCTCCCATGACAATATGTTTTACAGATACATCTCCTAGGGCAAGGGAAACAAAGGAGAAAATAACCAAATGGAACTACATCGAAATATAAAGCCTCTCCACAGCAAAAGAAACCATCAACAAAATGAAAAGGGAGCCCACTGTATGGGAGAATATATTTGCCCATGATATATCTGATAAGGGATTAATTTCCAAAATATATAAGGAACTCATACAACTTAACAAAAGGAAGAGAAACAATCCAATTAAAAATTTGGCAAAGCACCTCGCCTAAGTGGACAAGAGATATGAAAAAAATGCTTAAGATCACTAATCAGCCCTGACCAGTTTGGCTCAGTGGATAGAGCGTCGGCCTGCGGACTCAAGGGTCCCAGGTTCGATTCCGGTCAAGGGCATGTACCTGGGTTGCGGGCACATCCCCAGTAGGGGATGTGCAAGAGGCAGCTGATCGATGTTTCTCTCTCATCGATGTTTCTAACTCTCTATCCCTCTCCCTTCCTCTCTGTAAGAAATCAATAAAATATATTTTTTTAAAAAAAAGATCACTAATCATCAGAAAGATGCAAATTAAAACAACTATGAGATATCACCTCGCAGCTGTCAGAATGGCTACCATCAACAAATCAACAACTGACAAGTGCTGGCGAGGACGTGGAGAAAAGGGAACCCTAGTACACTGCTGATGAGAATGCAGACTGGTGCAGCCACTGTGGAGTTCCTCAAAAAATTAAATATGGAACTGCTATTTGACCAGTGATCCCACTTCAAGTAGAATATCCCACTCAGAAAGAATATCTGAACCCCTATGTTCACAGCAGCCCAATTTATAATAGTTAAGATCTGGAAACTGTCCAAATGCCCACCAGTATATGAGCGAATAAAAAAATTGTGGTATATCTATACCATGGAATACTACACAGCTGAAAAAAGAATTTGTTACATTTTGAAATAGCATGGAGGGACCTAGAGAGTATTATGATAAGCAAAATAAGTCAGTCAGATAAAGTATCACATGGTCTCACTCATATGTGGAATCTAATAAACAAAATAAATGGATGAACAAAATAGATCCAGAGACACTGAAGCATGGAACAGACTGATGAATCTCAGAGGGAAGGCAGGGGTGGGTTGGTGGGCAGGTGGGGAGAGATTAACCAAAGAACATATAATGCATATATGCATAACACATGGACACAGACAATAGTGTGGTGATGGCCTTCGGGGGTGGGTCATGGGTGGAGGGGGTCAATGGGGAAAACTAGGGACATCTGTAATACTTTCAACAATAAAGATAAAAATTTTTGAAAAAAGGAAGGATCAGGGAGGAAAAAAAATAACTGGAGGCTGGAAGCAGTAAACTACATCAGGAGAGAGGGTCAGAGGAAGCAGTGCAGAAAATGAACCCTCCCACAGATCTCACATGTTTTAAAGAAACAAAACAGCATGGAAACATGTTTCTACTCAGCCAAATGGAATAGAATAAAGATTATCAAGAGATTGGTGAAACAGCTGCATGATGTGAAGAACCCTCAACATCAAAGAATGAAGAAAAAGAAAGCTCCAGTCCAGGTAAACTTCTACCAACACTTTCCTCCAAATTCCCAGACTACTATGTGTGGGTCCCACCTCAAGGTCAAAGTGGAGATGACGGAACCCATCTTAATAACAAGTATGGCTACTGATTACTTCAGAATCCTAAAGGAAAACCTTGTGGACCATGTGACATGGGACATTTAAAATAACATATCAAGCTCAATGTCCAGAGAAGATGTTCAGAAGATCATTTATAAAATTTGGTGACTGTCCTTTTCTTTTATACTGAATTTGGCTTCCTGAATTTATCTATCCATCTGATTCTCTTGAATTTGGTATTTATGTTTAAAAGTGTTTGTGTGTATATGTATGTAAAAAGGAACCATACATTTTGAGAATTAGTAAAGTAAGAGACATGACTGTTAAATTTTTTAAAAAGAACATTGCATGCTGAGGAATGGTAATCCAATGAAGGCAAGTAGGTAGGAAGGTGAATTAAGAGAAACAAGTTGAGGGCAAATTGTGTAGAATCTTAAATGCCTCTATAGAAAACTCAAACATTATCCTGGAGACAGATGAGAAGTTGAGTAATTTTTAAGCAGAGAAGAGATATCCACAGAACTTAGAAAAGTAACTTAAGTATTGGGATGGAATACAAAAAGAAGAATCAAAGGCAGAAAAACAATTTAAGAAATTGCCTTAACAACCCAGATTTTTTAAATATACAGAAATAAATTAAGAGAGGAAAGAAGTGGGAGGGAGATATTTCTGGAATGGAAAAGAGAATTCATGGCATCTTATACAGGTTAAACAAGGCTGGTACAGCAATGGGAGAAGGTTTCTATACTAGCTAATTGCATCATTTAAGATACCATTAAGTAATATAAAGAACGCAGTATGAACAGATGATTTTAAAAGTTAGTTAGGGACCTGAGAAAACATGTACCTAATAAGGAGATCTATCTACATGAGTAGCCAGAGCTGTTGGAAATTTGAACCTAGTAGGACAGCAATCAAGTTGTGACTCATCTGCATTCAGAAAATAGCTGAAGTCATGAGAGAAAATATAAATCTGCTTAAAGAAACATATACACTTAAAGAGTATATGGAAGAGAGCCTCATAATAACCCTGTGAAGAAGTTCAGGCTTTGCTGTCCTTCATTTTGCTTTTTTAAAAATAAGGATAAAGACTGAGACTGCGAAGTTCAAGTAGTTTAATATGAGCAGGCCAAGTCACCTAATTAGAAAGAGGCAGTACCCAACTGGAATCCAGAGTTTCAAAATATTTCTACTATAAAATCTTGTCCAGCATGCTTATTGGTACAGGTATGCAGGCTGGACTTCCTGGTATCCATAAAGCAAAATCTTAGTCACGTTCTTAGTTTAAGGATTGGGGAATTCCATTTTTCTGGATTATCCAAGGATTCTGGAGTCCCATCAAACCAATACTTCAAAATACAAAAGTAAAATAGGTGTTTGTATAGAAAGACATAAATACACACAATTACAAATAAGCATTTTCTTATCCAATTAAAAGAATTTATGTTGCTGCTATGTTACCTTTAGATTTTGTTTATAAACAACTGGAATTTGTATAAAATGTATGCTGATTTTGTGCTTGGAATCTTAAAAGTGTAAACTTTATTGATAACTATCCTCATCCCTTGAAAGACAAGACAAATCAGGCAACTAACTGAAAATGGGTAAAATGAAACAATAAAGATGAGTGCAGAGATTTATATTCACAACAAGGGAAGGCTGGAAAGATTTGATAATATAAATGAAGTCCAGCCTGTCTAAGAAAAATAGTTACTGTCTCAAGTCAGCTTTCATAGAGGTGAGTTCAGAACTAAACATTGCAACCTTATTATACATATGTATACAAATAAATGTTTTCACATCTTTTTTCTTAATTATTATAAAGGTATTTATAGAAATTAACATACCCTCACTTTACAATGTGATAAAAGCCCCCACATTGGCTGTGCACATGCCTCAAGTTCAGCAGCAAAGGCAGCATAGTAGGTCTGAGACTCAAATTCCACATGCTCATTTAGTTCTCGCTTGTTTAAGTTCATACCTTACAAAAATTAAAACAGATATAAGCCTTATTAATGAAAATAATATTTCCTATTAAAAATCAAATAAAATACTTCCTAGTACCAAACATATTCTAATATACACACAAATAGCAATATGTATAGAAATAAGTAAATTATTAAAAATATAACAATCTAGTCCTTTTGGAATTCTTTACAAACTAGATTTTCTTATAAATACTTTGCAAATTGTCTCTTATATAACATAATTGAATGTATTAAATTAAAAAGTCAAAATTATTTTAATTGATGCTAGTTGAAATTTTTATGAAAGCATTATGAATCTTCTTAGAGAATAGAAACTTCCAGAATAATGGTTTAAAATACTAAAAAAATTACATTCTTATTCTCCTGTTTCCTTTTAAATATTTTGACATTTTTATAACTCTGATGTATCTTCGTGAATACTTTATTAAAGTATTTACAAATATCAATTAATTAAAATGAGACACTTCACATGTAACCAAATAATGTGCTATTATCTTTTAATTAGTAGTTGATAGCTCCGCATTAAGCATTTGGTAAACTAAAGAAATTAACAAAAAAATAAAATTCATACCTTGAAAGAAAGATACAAAGTTCATCCATGTAACTAACAGACCATGGTCCTCCAAAAATTTCTTAGCCACACTTTGATGAGAAAGAATATTAATAAAATCACTGACAAGAGGCCAATAAGTGTTATTCTTCAGCAACGCTTCTCCACAGTTCACTACCACATGTAAACTATTTTCTTCATCTAAAACAAACACACACAGCCCAAAAATAAGTTTAAAAAAAAACTTTACAAGGATACAGATTATATACTTTAGATTCAGAGATACCTAAATTCAAACCAAGTTTTCCATTTAATATCTATATGGCTTTAAACATGTTAGACTCTGAATCAATTTCCACATCTGTAAAATGGAAAAAGACATTATCTTAAGGGAATTAAATGAAATGTTAACATAATACTTAGCACATTATAATAATGTTTACTATTATGTCCAACATATTATATGATACTGAGTTAACTATGTTTATAAAACCACTAGAAGCCCGTTGCACAAAGATTCGAGCAATAGGCCTTCCTTCCCCCGGCTGCTGGCACTAGTTTTCCTCCAGCACCCGGGACCCAGGCCTTTGTTCCGGCCGGAGTGGAGAAGCCAAGCCTCGAGGAGCCTCGAGGCCTGGCTTCTCCACTGTGGCCCGCAGCGAGGCTTGGCTTCTCTGCTGCAGCCAAGCCTCTTTAGTTTTCAGTCTTCAGTCTTCACTCTGGCTGGAGCCTACAGTCTTCGCTCCACGCCTGTGAATGCAAATTAACCGCCATCTTTGTTGGGTTAATTTACATACTCATCTGATTGGCTGGTGGGCATAGCAGAGTGACACCAATTTGCATGTTTCTCTTTTATTAGTGTAGATATTATTTTCTTGATTCCAATGACATAATGCAATATTTCAGTCCAAATCAATAAATATTTTTATTCCTAGATTAATCTCATCCTTCTTAGCTATCAAATCTGTGATTTAAACTATATATTTACTTTCTACTCAAAGAATATGTAAATACCATTTCTTAGCAAAAACAGTATTTCAAAAATGAAAGAACAGAAAACACACATAAACTTAAGCCTTAAAAAAGTCCTCAAAAACATTTTTTACAGTTTCAGTTTTTAAATCTTTTTTTGTTGATTTGAGAGAGAGAAAAGGAGGAAAGGAGGGAGGCAGACAGAGACATCGATTTGTTGTTCCACTTACTTATGCATTCATTGGTTGCTTTTTGTATGTGCCCAGACCAGAGATTGAACCCACAACCTTCGCATATCGGAATGATGCTATAACCAACTGATCTACTAGGCCAGGGCAAAATCCTCAAAATGTAAATACATTGCTGGAGAGGGAGTATGCTTATATAAAATCTTTTTTTTTTTTTTACAAAAATCTTTACTAATAGAAGTTATCACATAAATGCATTATTAGCTCCTTAACCAATTCCAATTAAACTGATTCACTGGACAAACAATCCCCCCAATCCCACTGTAAAATACCCTAATAGCCATAATTTACAGAATGGTTGGTATAAAAGCCTAGTGTAAGAGCCAAGTATGTATATGCTTATCCAGAGTCAGTTTTCGTTTCTGTTCATATAAATTGTTGTTTTTATTATAATTAGAAAATTTAAATTAAAAGTATATAAACTGATGAAATATGAAAGCATAGAGAGAAACATTACAAAAACTGGATCATAAGCTTTTAAGAGACAATAAAGGTGCCTGAGAAAATGCTAAAATATCTTGGAGGAAAAAAATCATAAAAGCCTAGAAAGATTTTTAGACATAGTGAAGCCACTAAGATCTAATGTTCCTATTCTACTTTAAGGAAACTGAAACTGAAAATCACAGATGATGCAATACAGATGTGATATATATAAAAAAGACGAAGAACTCAGTCAAACAAACCATACCCTAAAAATGCTTTGCCCAAAATTAAGACTGGAAAATGAGCATGCATTTCTGTGTTTTAGGTTAAATGCATTGTTTAAGATAATGTATCTTTTTGTTGTTAATCCTCACCCGAGGATATTTTTCCATTGATTTTTTTTTTCTTTGTTTGAGAGAGTGGAAGGGAGAGGGAAAGACAGAGAGAGAGAAACACCAATGGGAGAAGACACATCAATTGGTTGCCTCCCGGACTGGGATGGGGGATCAAGCCTGCAACCAAGATACATGTCCCTGACCAGAATCGAACCCAGGACCCTTCAGTCCAAGGGCCGACACTCTATCCACTGAGCCAAACTGGCCAAAGCACTATGTATCATTTTTAATGATTCTTCACTTTAACCAACTTTTTAAACTAACCACCTACTGTCAAACTCGTAAGTGAGAAGGGCTTCTACTGAACCTCTTAATTTCCATACATTAAATTTGGGTTTCAGTCTATGAAATTATTTTTCCAACTCTTGATGTTTAATATGAATACTTGCTTTCTTTTAGCAAGATTGGTATCTGCTTTAATTTTTGCAAGGTATGAACTTAAACAAGTAAGAACTAAATGAGCATGTGGAATTTGAGTCTCAACTATGATGCCTTTGCTGCTGAACTTGAGGCAAGTAAGGGGACTCTATTCACACTGAAATTTAACTATATGTAAGAACAGGACCCACAAAGTTAAGTATACTCTCTTTTAGTGCTTCTCAACAGGATGAGAGAGGGTATAACTGAATGAGGAAGAGGGAGTAAGGGACTTTCTATAAATAACCAACACCTGAGATTCAGAAAAGGCCTCTGACTGACAACTACTGCCACTGTAGTTGTGAGCCATTGATATTGATGGGAGAGTGCTTAGGGATGCTTGGATTTTAAAAATATATATACTTAAACATTGATCACTGTTCTATTTCATTAAAAACAGAGATAAATAAGCAAAATATAATTACTCAAAATCACTATTTTTGACACTACTTTAAATATTAATCTTATAAAAAACACCTTAGAATCTTTAATAAAATAAAATGATTAGTACTTCTATTTTTACCTGCATACTTTCATCACTAGAGAGTAATGATTCAATGTTAAATGAGAGTCAATCATCAACAATTATTTATTGAGTACCTACTGAGGACCAGGTAGTCTATTAAGCTCTGAGATTAAAGTGGTAAATAAATCGACTTATATAGTTTCACCCAGCCAGTATGGTTCAGTGGTTGAGCATTGACCTACGAACCAGGAAGTCACAGTTAGATTCTCAGTCAGGGCACATGCCTGGGCTGCGGGCTAGATCCCCAATAGTGGGTGTCCAAGAGGCAGCCGATGAATGATTCTCATCATTGATGTTTCTATCTCTTTCTCCCTCTCCCTTCCTCTCTGAAATCAATAAAAATATTTTTTAAAATTTTATTTTAAAAAAAGACTTATATAGTCTCTCTTTTCACTGAGATTAAGATCTAAGAAGACAGTGGGTATGATAGAGACTATAACAAGAAAAGTACAGGACATCATAAGAACAAATAAAACTAGTCTACAATTCAGGAAGACTCTCCTGAGGAAGAGATATTTAAACTGAGATATACAGAATAAAATAGGAATTAGAGATTAGCCAAAGAAATTAGGGATGGAGAAGGAAATGGTGTTCTAAGTAGACAAAGCTGTAAAAAAAATAAAAAAGAGGCCCAGCTGGTATGGGTCAGCGGTTGATCATCGACCTATGAACCAGGAGGGCATGGTTAGATTCCCAGTCCGGGCACATGCCCGGGTTGTAGGCTTGGTCCCCAGTGTGGGGCATGCAGGAGACAACCGATCAATGATTCTCTCTCATCACTGATATTTATATCTCTCTCCTACTCCCTTCCTCTCTCAAATCAATAAAAATTATTTTTTTAAGATAAAATCACTGAGACAAAGAATGCAAAGAATAGGTGGCAGAAATGAGGCTAGAGATCCTTATAAATCAGCTTCAGGAGTTTGAAGTTCATGTAAAGAGAATGGCAAGCCACTGGAAGGTGACAAGGTGGTAAGAAAGGGGACATGATGTGTAGTGTGGAGAGTGACTAAAGAATGGCGGTGATAACTAGTGGTAGAGGCCTAGAGATAACTATTGTTTGAACTATGGTGGTGACATGAAGATGCATAGACAAAGAGAAGTGGCTATTTTAAGATGTTTAGACTATATTACCAAGTCGCTATATATCACCAAGGAGCAACAAGAACTCAGAAATGACTCCTAGGTTTTTAGGTTAGGCAGCTGTGTAGATGATTATGCAGTGGTACCAAAACATAAATTTGTGTACTCATACACACACACATATACACATACATATATACATACATGCACATACAAGATAACAGAAATGAAGCAGGCTTGATAGAGAGATATTGAGTTTTTGGTGTGGACATATTGTGTTTGAGTTGCTTATAGACACTGAAAGAATCTAATTCAATAAAGTTTGATATGAAGGACAGAGATCAAACTGAGCTTTCTAGCAACTACAGATATTCCTGTTGTTATGCAACACCTGGTTTTAAGTCCCATTTTACCCAGACTGATTTAAAAGGCAAACTGTAAAATTTCAGGAATTTGAAGTCATGAATTATGTTTGGGACAGCACAGTGGTATGGTGTAGATATGAATACAACAAAATAAAAATGTAATGTAGGGGTCACTAGCAGATGCTCTTCCCTTTTTTAAAAATCTTTTTTAAATGTTTATTTATTGATTGATTTTAGAGAAAGGACAGAAAAGAGAGAGAGAATCATTGATGTGCTCTGTCCAGAAATCAAACCCAAAACTTTGGTGTATTGGGATGACACTCTAACCAACTGAACCACCAGCCAAGGCAAGGCTTTTCCTGTTTTTTTAAAAATATATCTTTTTATTGACTTTTAGAGAGAGAGGGAGAAAGAGAAATATCAACGTGAAAGGGAGACATTGATCAGCTGCCTCCTGCACACCCTGCCCCGGAATCAAACCAGCAACATTTCAGTGCACAGAATGGCGCCACACCAGCCAGGGTGAGGCTTTTTCCTTTAAATCTTCAGCTATTGTTGTGGTCATTGAATTCTCACTGTGTCAGCTCCTGTATTTACTAATAGTACAGACAAAACTTCCAATTTATGCAAAGGTTAGATGGAGACTGTTAAAAAAAAATTAAAAAGAAAGTACAGAGATCCTGTTGTAACATCTGTGGCTAGTTATATTTAATATATTTAAAGCTCATTCCAATACTACTCATGCAAAAATGAGAATAACTTATGATGCTTTTATAAAACCAATAAATATGTACTATGAAATGCTATACTATTTTTAAAAGTAGAAAAAACAGCATAGCAGCTAAAGATAATTTTAGACCTGGGCTTAGAAATAATGTAATTTACTAGAAAAAATACATTTGTATGTAAGATCTTAGAAAAGTTACCTATAGCTATTTAGCTTCTAGAACATTCAACTTGTACAAGAATTTCCAGGACAGACCAATTTCCAGCACTAGGAGGGAAGCATATATAGAAAACAAATAAGACCATGCAATATGATTTCACAAAATATGGGGAAAATGAGAAGAGCAGAGATATCAGGACCAAGTGCCAAGAAACACCAACATCAATATGACAAGTAGAAAAGAGTACTGGGCCACAAAAAGAGCAGAAAATCAATAGTGTGAAACGCTACTGAAAATCAAACAAGATAAGGTCCAAAGAGTGGCCACTGATTTCTTCATCATGTCCATGGGTGGGGAACATCTGGCCCATGGAAGTCATTTGGTCTGGCCCTGTCAAGGCATGAGTGGTGAGTTAATTAAATGTTCGACCAAATATAGCAGGCTAATTTTTAAGTTGATAATGTTGCATGGCCCAAGAACGATATTATAAATATCCAAATGGCCCTTGGCAGAAAAAAGATTCCCCACCCCTGATGTAGGCCATAGAAAGGACTACAGTGTAATGTATTATATAAACTGGGACTCTTTTGAGACTAAAAGAGATTGTATTAATAACTATATCAGAACAACGGGCATAATTTGGGGCTGTTTGGGGAACATAGGACATGTGGCCACTGGAGTCGTTGGCAATTTTAGAAAGAACAACAGAATGATGGAAGCAGACACTAGATTGAGGTGAGTTATTGAGTGATTAGAGATAACAAAACAAATTCAAAAACTCTCTCTGGAAAGTTGCCTATGGGAAAAAAATGGGAGGCAGACACATATACAAATATTCTTCTTCCCAAATATTCTTCTTTGTAGACCAAATAAAACCATATAATGTAAGCACAGCAGAATCATTTAGTCAACAAAATAGACTCCAGATTCTCTTCAAAAGAGCAGATACTTCTAAATTTAAAAAGTTTTCTTGTTTATAAATTAAAAATACTATTTTTTAAAAGGCCTTTTCAAAAATAAAAGAAAGAGCAATATATATAGTAGTTAAATCTCTAAGAAATAAAAGGTCGTCTTACATGAAGATAGAAAAACTATAACACAAAGTGGATTTTAAATTTTCCTTTAAAGAAGTGAAGAGGTATATTGCTTAATGTATAAAATGTATTATTCTCCCACTATACCTACAATGGGAAAACAGTCCCACAGTGGGCAAAAGTATGAGTTTTGAAGTGAAACACCCAGCTGTACATCTTTACAGCTGTAATACTATAAACTATTGATTTAACTCCCTAAGCCATAATTGCCTCATCTATAAAATGGAGAAAGCAATATCTATAATACATATAAAGTACTGAGAAAAGAGCATAGCATACAATGACTGCTCAAAAGATAGTAGCTATCATAATTATTAGCTAGCTATTATTACACATAAAGCATGTGCCCTGCACTGAGCATATATCAATTTTCAGGCTATGGTATCACATCTGAAAACAGACAATAGGAGCTGATATGCAGAAGGAGGCAACATTGGAACAAAGCAAGTCTCAACTACAGAAAATGGGAATGTCCTAAGATTTAATCTGAAGTACTGGTTGTTGTTATTTTAAAGGTTAACTCCAGGTGCCAACAAGAGAAGACACAGTCTTATCAATGTTGGCCTGGCTGTGTCATGGTGAAGAACAAAGATTCTGAATCAGAGGATATGAATTCTGAATCTTGGCTCTGTCATTTACTAGCTGTATACTCTATGGCAAATGAACTAACTTCACTACGCCTCAATTTACTCATCTTTAAAGTGGGGATAGTAACAATGTCAATCTCAGAGGGTTGTTCAGAAGTTTAATTAAAACAACATACAAATAGTAGTCACACAGTGCCTAATACATAGCAAACATTCACATAATATACATTATTACAGGGAGGTAAAGTCAAGATGAAAGACTTCAGAGAAATGAGAATGTGATAAGGTCCTAGAAATATACGGCAATTTGAGGAGTATCGACCATATAGTGGGCACAAAATAAGAAAATCAAAAATCTCACTATGGCAGCACAGAAAAGTCAAGATTTATTCAACTTTTACATTATAAAAAGTATAGGTATAGTAAAATGTCTGATAGTAAAAAATTTATGATAAAAAAAGGAACATATCTAATTAGGAAATGTTTAAATTATAGTAAAGCCATATGATATTAATGCCTGCAACCATTAAAACACATATTCTTGACATGTACACTATGGTAACATATTTTTAAGTATGTATGTATATATACATATAAATATCATCATACAAAATGGCAGAAAATATCCCAAAATGTTAACAAGTTATTTGTGAATAACAAAACTACAGGTGATTTTAGGAGGCCAATGCCTTATCCATTAGGTGACTGGGACTTCTAAATTACAGGTGATTTTAAAGTTTTGTTTTATTTTATTTTATTTTTTTTTTAATTTTTTTATTGATGTCAGAGAGGAAGGAGAGGGAGAGATAGAAACATCAATGATGAGAGAGAATTATTGATCGGCTGCCTCCTGCCACTGAGCATATATCAATTTTCAGGCTATGGTATCACATCTGAAAACAGACAATAGGAGCTGATATGCAGAAGGAGGCAACATTGGAACAAAGCAAGTCTCAACTACAGAAAATAGGAATGTCCTAAGATTTAATCTGAAGTACTGGTTGTTGTTATTTTAAAGGTTAACTCCAGGTGCCAACAAGAGAAGACAGTCTTATCAATGTTGGCCTGGCTGTGTCATGGTGAAGAACAAAGATTCTGAATCAGAGGATATGAATTCTGAATCTTGGCTCTGTCATTTACTAGCTGTATACTCTATGGCAAATGAACTAACTTCACTACGCCTCAATTTACTCATCTTTAAAGTGGGGATAGTAACAATGTCAATCTCAGAGGGTTGTTCAGAAGTTTAATTAAAACAACATACAAATAGTAGTCACACAGTGCCTAATACATAGCAAACATTCACATAATATACATTATTACAGGGAGGTAAAGTCAAGATGAAAGACTTCAGAGAAATGAGAATGTGATAAGGTCCTAGAAATATACGGCAATTTGAGGAGTATCGACCATATAGTGGGCACAAAATAAGAAAATCAAAAATCTCACTATGGCAGCACAGAAAAGTCAAGATTTATTCAACTTTTACATTATAAAAAGTATAGGTATAGTAAAATGTCTGATAGTAAAAAATTTATGATAAAAAAAGGAACATATCTAATTAGGAAATGTTTAAATTATAGTAAAGCCATATGATATTAATGCCTACAACCATTAAAACACATATTCTTGACATGTACACTATGGTAACATATTTTTAAGTATGTATGTATATATACATATAAATATCATCATACAAAATGGCAGAAAATATCCCAAAATGTTAACAAGTTATTTGTGAATAACAAAACTACAGGTGATTTTAGGAGGCCAATGCCTTATCCATTAGGTGACTGGGACTTCTAAATTACAGGTGATTTTAAAGTTTTGTTTTAAACGTTACTGAAAATTTTCCAAAAATTTCTTTTACAAATATGCACTATTTTATAATATTTTGAAAGCTATTTTTAAACACACAAGGAGGTTTTAAGAGTAGGTATACACAGTATACTAATAAAACTAGTGAAAATAATTCTGAGTTTACCTTGTAGCTCACTTTTAATAAGGCAACTTTCCATCATGTATAATAGCACAGTGACCATAATATCCAGCAGCTGACATTCTTCTGTTACCTGTCTTGCCAGCTCCTCATTGCTGAACAACTGAACACTAATATGAACAATTCTGTTAGACATCGTGTCTGATTCATGACTTTTCTTCAGTGTTTTCATAATGAAAGCATAATGCTGAACAAAAGTTTTTGTAAAAGCAACCTGTAAATGTTTTAAATAGAAAAAAAAACCACATTAGTTTAACTTTGACTTTTATTACACATTTTCCAATATATTACATTAACCATATTAAACTATTATTAGTTTGTGATGATGTCCAAGGTCATTGAAAAAATAATTTCAATGATGACAGTAGTCTTAAGTCATATTTCCCCATTTTTTGAAACATCAGCAAAATATTTTGATGGTTAAAAAAATTTAATAGGCATTTTAAATTATTAAAATTTTAAAGCAACTACAAATACCATAGTTTAAAATACAAATTCTCACTATGCTCATAAATAAATCAATTTATTGTCAAAATATTTCTCTTTGTTCTGTGCTACCTACTTTAAAAACAAAATCTAAAGTCTCAGCTAAAAACTATCACAGGTTTCATATAACTTAACAAGTGAGTCAATGTGATTACTCCAAAAGAAATATCTTCTCCTATTTGTTCAGAAAGACCACTAATTTGACTAAATATTCTTTCTGTGTAACATGTACATTTATTTCCTCTGTTATTTTCCTAAGCAGTTATAACGTCACCAAACAATGGCATTATTAAAGTGTTACTCCTAAAGAGGCCTTATTTCCTAAGCCATAAAAAGAACTACAGCATGATTCACTTTCTTTTTCATACACTAGGCTATGTCACTTTGCAATAACTATACAGTGGTAACAGGTGAGTCCAGACACTCTGGGACTAGAGACTTCATCTACCTACATGAGTACATTAGTCAATAACTGTTCTGTATTTAACTTTATGGCAGGCAGCTACTAATTCCATGTTTTCCCATACCTAACCCCACAATCTAAATTCAATTGCCCCCATTACACATACTCATAGCATCTGTACCTCTCCTTCGAAGAATTTGTAACAACATATTTATTTGAGCAATTGTTTTTATGTTTGTCACCCAGCATTCCTTTGGATCAAGTTCCATGCAGAAAGGCAACCCTTAGGAATTCTGTTTAACAGTGGTGCTTTGCCACAGATCTTTGATACTATGTTTCTTCTGCAGACCCTATGTTCTTTCACAGTGTTATATCAGTCCTCAGAGCTACAACACAATAAGCCACAGCTGAGAAATATATTTTTAAAATTTAGTAGAGAAAGGGCAAAGAATAGGGAGCAAAGTTCAGAAAGGAAGGGGGGGGAAATGTATATACCTTATACTCTTGATCTGGAAGCATATTGAGTAAGAAAGTTACCATCTTCTGGGGGAATTCATATTTTATAGTCCAAAACAATAGTTCTTCTAGGAAACTTTTATGTTTCAAAACATCCATTATGGATTGATCTGTGTTAAAAAAAAAATTTATCGTCTAATGATTTAAGTTTCTCATTTCATTTAAACCTTACTATCATTAATAACCCATCAACCCCAAACACCTAAATGTATCTAAACATTAAGGATACCTTTTCAATAATTCAATGATAATATTTACAATATCAAGCTAGATTTCTGTAATCTCCACAGTTTATAAATAATAAGATACTAACCCCTATGTTTTAAGATAAAGCAGTTACTTAAAAAATAATTACTTATCCTTAAACATAAACCATTTACCTAAAATTTCTACTAAGATTAATCTTACAAGAACAATATTCACGATACCTAATTTAAAACAGTAATAATTATCAATGGAACAAAATAGAGAGCCCAGCTATAAAACCATATGCATATGAACAGATACCTTTCAACAAAGGAGACAGAAACATACAATGGAGTAAAGATAATCTCTTCAATAAATGGTGCTGGGAAAATTGGAAAACCAAATGCAAATGAATGAAACTGGATTACAGTTTGACCCCATGTACAAAAATTAGTTCAAAATGGACCAAAGACCTAAATATAAGATCTGAAAAATAAGTTACATAGAAGAAAACATAGGTATAAAACTTAATGGAGGAGAGACTAAGATGGCGGCATAGGAAAACACTGGAAATTGCTGCCTCCGACAACAACTTCAAAAATACAACTAAAAGACAGAACGGTCATCATCCAGAACCACAGGAAGGCTGGCTGAGTGGAAATTCTACAACTAGAAGGAAAGAGAAGAGCACACAGACTCAGAGGAGCTACGAAAGTAAAGTGCAGAGGTACGGAGGCTCCGGCGCGCGCGGAAAGGGGCGGGCACCTGAGGACGC